ATCACAATTAATATTGGTCTGATTCAGCTGCCTCTTACAAGTGCATTTTTCAGCAGGGTTTACTATATAACAATCAGCAGGGAGAATGTTTCTGCTCCAGGTGTGATCCAGGAACCACAATTGAGCCTCAGGTATTTTGAACCACACATGGCTCTGTACCACATCAAGCAGTACCACACCTAATATTTAAATTACAGAGATTAAAATTGCTTTTTACAGGAACTGGGGACATTAGACTTTGCACCTATCCTAAGTATAAAAGGACTCCGTACATTAATAACATGCTATTTTGATCCATAAACACCGGGTTATAATGAGGCACAAAGCAAAAATGATTGCCACGTGCACTTCCGAACGACGGCACCTCTGATGATGACTTCATTTGTAGTTTGGTTTCCCTGCTACTTAAATGTGTATTTTTGTCCACAGAATTCAAGCCAAGCCAAGGTGAGCATTTGGGCAAATGATCATGAGAGCTCCTATCCTTTTTCATGTTGGAAGAAATTCGCTGACTAAATTTCATAAACTAGAAAGGTTCCATATTTAATCTCAGTTAGGTATCTTATAACTGTGGAGAGGAAAGGTTGGCAGAGCTTCCTATTTCTGATCACTATAGTCACTCGTGCTGCTGCAAAGTTTATGCATGTGAATAGAATGATAGGTTTCCCCCCTGCTCGGGTCCTGACCCAACTGTGCAGCTTCGTGGGACGTCCTCCCGACGTGAAAGGCGCTCTATAAATGAAATCTTGTTGTTGTTGTTGTAGGTTCAGGTCTTTTCCTTTTTTCTTCCTTGTTATAGACCTCAGCACTGCTCTTCACTTGTGACTTTTTAATATTATTTGTGTATATAGAAGTGAATTTACTGCATAAAACTGGGGCATGCAGTCATGTGGCAATGTGGTATCTGGTACATTTGAAGTGATTTTTATGTTGGATCTTCTTAGTTGTCTGTATTTTTAGCCCATCCTGCATACTTATCCTCCAGCCAAATACTATACTACTGAATGTAATACTGAAGAATTAAACACCAGAAATGATCCCGTTAAAGGCATTGCTGTTCAGTCACTCGTTAAGCCATCCTTCTGTCGGAAGAGATTGTAATGTAAATGGTTTGCCTGCAGTAGAATGTGTTTTGCACTGCTGTACGAACATTATGTGAGCTTCAACTTGAATGCTGTTAAATTTAATTAATGTCCATTGCAAAATTGTATTGTTTGCAAACAAGTAGATGTTAAATCTCTCATTTTTATTTTCCAAACACATTTTTTCAAAAAAGCCATGTGTGTCTGTGTTAACCCTGTTGTAGTCAGTCAGAAAATATATTAGTTAATATGATTTTGCTTGTGAATACTATGATTTAGGAATTCAACTGTGTAATGCAAGGTTTCTTTATCTACAACCAGTCCATCCTAAATTAATTGTTATTCAGTTCTTTTCCTCCCATGGTTCGTATAATAATAATGCTCTAAACAAGAATGAGGTCATAGCAATTGTAATGAAGAACAACCTTGGAGATTCTGCCCATATATACGTTTTAAATGTTTCTCCATGTGACTGTAGGATTTTCAGGTGGACATTAAAGATCCAATGGCACTTTTTGAAAATTGTCTTAGTCTACCAAGACCTCCAATATATTTAACAGTAATTGATTGTGAAGTGTTTCCAATGGGTCTCTAAAAGTGCAATTTGTTTGGTAACCCAAGTAATTTGGTTCTTCCTTAATTCCTCAGGCGTGCTGACCCACCTTTTTTTTAACCTTGAGCATACACATTCCTATACATTGAGTATTCATACACACTCAAAACTGCAAGATGTCTGCACCCATTAAATAGAGAGTAGATATTGTGCAGTCACTGGAAGAGTTAGAGCAACCACATTCTTTTTTTCCTCAACATGCTTTCTATTGTAGATTTTGTAATACAACACTTGCTATATGAATGTTGAATGAATACTATTATAAGTGTCAAGTGTCAATAAAGAAATACAAATGTCAATAAACATTGAACATTCTGGTTGCTAATTTGCATTCATATTTGTGATTCGATTTTGATCTTTCTCTCTTGCTCTCCCATTTGATGCCAATCGATTTTTTTTAAAAAAGGGTATGTCTGTGTAGATTTTCGTATCCATCAGACAGCTTTTTGTCGTGAATCAGGACTTTACCTCAGGGTTGAGTGAGGAAGACATCTGGGTTCCTGGCGATGGGGAAAGCTTGGCTGTTTCTACTTTTTAGTTTTGCACATAGGAGGGGAGAACGGTCCATGGTCTGTTTGTTTGGTGAGCTCCATCACTGACTAATGTAGTCCTAGATTGAAGCAACCGAAAAAAAATATTAAGCATGACTACAGCATCCGCCACAAGGGGGCATAAATTGTTGCAAATTGTTGGTGTTCATGCGGTAGTGCAGAGTACAGTATATTGCAAATCACAGTACCATACATGTTTTTATATTGTTTTTGAATTGTTAAATTGAGATCTCCTTTGAGAGTAGTGTGAGTAAGTAAATGGGAGGCCATGCTAATTAAGTTATTGCTTAGATTTAAAACACAAGAAAAGATGGATTAACTTGGGTCACCTATGACTATTATGTTTGTTATGGTGTTTTAAAATTGCATAGTATCATTTTATTATGCTAATTGAAGTGTATGTACAATAAAATACAAAATCACATTTGTATAGCGCCCTTTACGACGGGAGGACGTCCCAAGGCACTCTATATCATGTTGCCCCTGTCTTGCTCTCTTACAGTTCATGTCAGTGAACATCCAACTTGAGTAATGTGGATTGATACAGCTTTTTGCCCCTTTCACTTGCACAATGGTCCAGCTGAGATTGGAATTGCACATTCTGTAACCCTGTCTACCATTGTTTCTTCGGGTAGGGGACATCCTCCTAACGTGAAAGGCGCTATACAAATGTAATCTTGTTATTGTTGTTGTTAGGGTAAAGTTTGCTGTTGTATTGACATATTATCATCGGGTTGCCATCTCTTTTCCTTGACAAACTTAATCAACTTATGGTTTGATTGAACCTTTCTAGTTTATGGGTAAAATGGCCACTGTGCTAAATGAAATCTCTGCTTGTTATTCCCAGGGAACTGTCTTCAGTCTGGATTCTGAAGAGGAAGAAGAGGAGCAAGGAGAAACTGCAGACGATAGTAATGATATTTATATCCTAACAAGTGATAACTCTGGTCAAGTAAGTCCTCCTG